TGTCGGGTTTTCTTGTATATAATTAAGATTTTATGGTCTTTAAGTAATAGAAAAAAGTGAGAAGCAACAAGCTTTTGGTAAATTCAACAAATAATTTATTCCTCTAGAATACAAAATGAAAATGTAAACGAAAGAACTTAAGGTATTGCGAATTAAATCCCAAATAAACCTAGAAATACAGAACAAAACCTAATAATTAAAGTTATGAATAAATGTTAGTGGAAATCCAAATCAAATCCAACGCTGTGGTGGGCCATATAGTGGTGATGTTCCAAGAGACTTTTGTTTGATCCCAATAATAAAATCTAAGAATATATCGTTATTTGAAATTTCACTATAAATTCAATTCTCTATTTCCACGAATGCTATTTTTAATGATTTGTTTGTGTTTCTAGTGAATATGTAATTCGAATAAATACAATTCCAGCCCAAATGAACCACTGCACACAACATTAATACAACTGATTCTGCTCAGATCTTAGACACGAATAAATAATTAATCCAGTAACAAGGTTATATAGCCCTCTACTTAACCTCAGGTCACAATTAGCATTTTATTAATTTTTTAAAAAAAATATTACCCAATGAAAATTTCAATCAGGAAGGCTCTAGATGTTTACAAGATTTGGTTAAAAGTAAAAGGTCTGTTACTAAAATTGTAATATGGAGCGTTGAAAGAAACGAGTATGACATTATAGGGGAATTAACTTAGACACTAAACCCAACCAATATGTTTACTTCTATTAACAATGATCATAATATTAAATCCATACACATAAAATATTTTAGCTATGTATGAGTTGTTTACAGAATTATAAAAGACCAATGAGTTTGCTCATTTGAAAAATGAATTTTATTTTTGGACTAGGTCACGTCCAACATACAACATTACATTAGTCATAGCGTATAATGAAATGAAAGATATATGAAGAAAACAAACCAAACTAACAAACAATGCAAATTAAATACACGCAACAATAGTCGCCCCGCATATATATATATATATATATATATATATATATATATATATATATATATATATATATATATATATATATATATATATATATATGTGTGTGTGTGTGTGTGTGTGTGTGTGTGTGTGTGTGTGTGTGTGTGTGTGTGTGTGTTAAGGAGTTTAGTGTTTGGTGAAAATGGAGTACAATTGGCAGCAAGACACTTTTCGACAAAGGTGTGCCGTTGTTTGGGGTTTCACAGCTAAATACCAAATAACTGTTATTACACAACAATAGATTACTTTTAAATAGCGATTTTAAATGTGAACCGCTTTAGATGGCGCTCACCATTTACTATGTACTTTTGAGAGAGTGATGTATGTAAGGTGAAGTTGTTTGCATTTTAAATATGCATAGTGGAGAGAATGTTGGCATACCTATATGCTACTTTCATGTAATGTGGATGAAATTTTTCTGGATATTGTTCCTTTTGAAATTTTAAATGATCTTAGGACACTGTTAACTAAAATGACTGCTCCCTTGTGCTCCAAAAATCAACCTCAATTTGTCTAAAGTACACTATTCTTCGCAGCTATTAAAATATGGAAAATGAATTTTGCCAAACTAGATCATACCAGCTTCTAAAAGTGCAATGACTAAATTACCAAATACATAAAATATATAAAAAAAAGTTATCGGTTTTTTTTTTACAATTTACCTCTGAAGTTCGAGAAGTGAAAATGAGCAAGTAGAGCTAGCACTTTTTTGAAAGATGCACATCTGGAGAAAGGCCAAGCTATATACTCTCTAACCCATATTACACCCATCAATCATATCAAAATAAAGGGAAATAAATGTTCTTTGAACAATACCTAAAATATACAAAGTCTCTTTTAAATAACCAGTATAACTAGTGAGGAAACCCGGGGAAACTCTTTTTCTTCAAAATTCTAAATATGCTAAATACGAAACTGTAGAGCGCCACATTAAGTAACGGGTAATTGATACTTTGCCAGTAAACTGCAAACTGTAATTGGTAATCGCCCTCCCAAAGTTTTTAATCGGTTACTGTAATTTTGACCCAATAGGACACACGGTACTATAGGTATGGAAAAATGGGAACCAGTCTGGAAATGGGTGAACATTTAGTAGAGTATAAATATGTTTGGTTGGCCAAAATTAGTTAATAATGTAAGTTATGTTTTAGGAAAAAGAATCTTTTAAGAACTTATCCTAGTTGTAAAATAGAGACATTATTTTATTGATAAAATTCCAGTCCTTTAACAGTCTTGAGCTAAAATTAGCACCTGACTCATTGGTGCGGAATTGAAAGCACATGTTTCAAACACATGCAGGTCCAGATAATGCCAGGGATCATATCCTCATAGCCTATCCTCTACACAGAAGCGGACATCCATGCTTCAACTATACTGATAGGTTTGATCACGGGCACTCAGAAATTTTAAGTTATAGAATTTTAAATATCATGGTGTTTGAATAGGTTTACCATGGGAACATGATTCCTTGATACACTCTGTAAGTGAATTTTTGTCGGTTTAATGTCATTTTTAATTACTATACATGTCTGCCTGTATGTTTGATGGAGGAAGAACCTGGGATGAACCATCTACGCACTGGAAGCTACTGGCAAGCTTTCTCACATACAAACGTTGAACGAGTTGCATTGGATGTAAAGTTGAAAATTCTTAATTCATTCGTCTGTCTATCTATCCATTCATTAAAACCACTAATCCTACCTTGCATGCTTCATCGGTGTAAGACAGCCAGGTAAGCACATATTTGAGGACTTCGGTCGGCACCTGCCGCACAACCCGCTTCCGGTCTTCACACAGTTCTAGTGCCAGTTTAAGGTCCTCTAGCAGCTTGATTACTCGGGAATACTGGGTGTATCTCTGCGGGCGAGAGGGGCTAGTGATGGATACCGGCCCATTCTGAGAGTCAAATCGTGTATCTGGAATTCAGATATCATACATAGATGATAACCATGTTTACTTGCGTATAGAATAACATCCATCCATCCATCCATCCATCCATCCATCCATCCATCCATCCATCCATCCATCCATCCATCCATCTTCATCCATCCATCCATCCATCCATCTTCATCCATCCATCCATCCATCCGGTACTAACATGAGTCTATGTGTGTTACTGGAGCAGCCGTGTGTGATTCACACCCGGCTCTATATTATTTTGTGCCTAATATTAAAAAATTCTGAACATGTTTTTGATATATTATGAAATAAATTGAGTAGTCCTCCTATTTAATACTGGAATAATCGCAAATCATTGTAGAAATAGTGGTAAAATCTCGTTTACTTTTCTTATTCAATATTTTCGTTTTGATCGTCAGCCATATTCGTTCAAACAATGCCTACTTCTGTTCTCAGCCTATTTTGTTTGTGTGCCATATAAGAACCTTAATGCCTTATTTGGAAACGTAAACAGATCGTAGTAAAAAAAATGGCGAGGTTTGAGTCGAAAATAATGCGCATTAAAAGCAAATACGGTTTACCGGTGACTTTGAAATTGCACCAAGAAGCAATTATTTTCTCAACAAAACCGTATTCCGCAAATTATGCAAGTATCCATTCTCCACCTCGGGTTATGTCATTCCACAACTAATATCATAGCGTAGAATATCCATATATAGTCTGGCAAGCCTTAAGTAGAAAAGGGGTCACGGCGAGAGTCTCGCGCTATCTGTCATGGTGGACACGGTGAGGTTATCATAGCTACGCCAATTTATTTTACCCTGTAAGGGCTTAAAAAATTCAAAATAAGCCAAACTTCTTCGACAAAATGATTAAATTTATTTAGTAGATTTCTAAACTATTTGTGTTTCTGACTTAGGTGAAGATTTTTTGTGCTCCATTACATGATATGGGATCAGTTTGTAGCCTCAACCACAACAAAACAAATTGAGGCTACGACATCGTAGCTAACATCCATCCTTCCATCCATCCATCCATCCATCCATCCATCCATCCATCCATCCATCCATCCATCCATCCATCCATACATACATACATACATACATACATACATACATACATACATACATACATACATACATACATACATACATACATACATACATACATACATACATACATACATAGAGCAATAAATAACCTAGCATATAAAGACTGAGAGAGCATTTTTAATGCTTAAATTGGATGGGGGTGCAGTGACTCAAAGGTTAACGTCTCTGACTCTTGAGCAGAATAATATGGGTTCGAATCCTGTCCATACCAGGCCCTATCGTTCTTAGTCCCAGGATAAAGCAATTTACTCCTATTTTAAGGCAAGATATGATCTATCATGTGCTATTTGGTTAAAGACCAAGTAAGTTACGTAACCTGTCCATCTTAAATTCACAAAAAAGAAAAACCGTCAATGGCGGTATGTCCAAATCGCAAGCATAATTTGTTTGTGAAGTATGTAAAACTCCTGATAACGCGTCTGCATTGCAAGGTACATCATTTTACAATGTAATACGTAGATGATTGGATCGTGAAAACTATGTTTTAGTCGCCGATTGTCTAAACGGTGAAGTAATCCTCAAGAAGTATCAATATATCAAAGTGCATGACGTTTGAAAAAAGTTATAGATTTTTAGCAAAATGGAAACATGGACGCAAATCACAACAGAGATTACGGTGACGTTATTGCCTGAATGGTGCAGATCTCCGCATGGTGCATCTACTTAGTTAAAAGACTCCACTGGCAATAATAACTGAGAAACTGAGCTGAACGCAAATGTTAATCAGTGATCCTACCAAAACAAACGGAAGGACGAACAATCATCATCAATCCACTGACCGCTTTTGCTTTGCGCTCCAGCCAATAATGCACTTCAATGATGAAATCCACCTTCACCTCTTTTACCGTCTAAAAAAGCCATAGTACAGTTGGTTTGATTACTTTAATGACATTTTAACACATTATCTGATACATCATGTGGAGTAAATAGGAACAAAGTGTCTTTCCTAAGTACATACTGAGGCAGCCGATCCCGGATGGCACAAACGGGCATTGAACCCACCACCATTGGATTACGAGTCTGACGCTCGACTAACTGACCTACTGCACCCTTTAATTTTAGAATAATAAGGAACATTCATATAAATACGTCATCGTTGGATATAATGAACATGTGCGAACATGGAAACGTCTGATACAACGAACAGCACTTTGATTTTAAAAAAGTTTTGTTTAGCAACGCATTCATTTAAGTGGGCCCCGAGTTACCTAGTGGTCTAAAGCACTATCCGTTACGGATCACTGCCATCTCACCTCTGTCTGCGTGGGTTCGAGTCTAAGATTCGGCAAATGTGGATATGTGAGAAAGTTTGCCAGTAGCTTCTCGTGGTTCGGTGGTTCTTTCCGCGGATTTCCCGGTTTCTTCTTCCACCATTAATACTGGCCGTCATGTATAGCCTATCGTGTGCTGAAAAATGGCGTTAAGACCCAGAACAACAACAACAACAACAACATTTATTCAGTAACAAAAATAAACTTTTCTACTTTATTACACACGGTAAGTTGTAAAAAGCACGTTGAATATACATTGGGGTTTTTTTTATCCGGTTGATGTAAATTAATATAATATCTTAGTTGCGTTAAGAGTTCAACAAAAAAAAATAATCGCATATAACGGATCTAATATAAATGCTAACTTCAGACTAAATTTATAAAACGAGTCAAATATCTTCAATATTTTCTGAGCCACTACGAGCAAAATGATTGAAATGTGAAATTATTCGACAAGTTTTATAATTTAGTTTTAGAATTAGCACAAATGTAAGATTTTATTAATCAAAAGACGAAAGATATTGATTTTATGTCGACTTAAGAAAGCTCCAGTGGCATAGTAGTTAGAGCGTCCGCCTCGGATGCAGGATGTCGTGTGTTTAATCCCCGGCCGAGACCCACCAAAGACTTACAAAAATAATACTAATAGCTGCTACGCTTGGCGGTCAGCATTAAGAGGTTAGTGTTAGGACTGACCTGGCGGGATACGATGCTACCTATTTGCGGTATGATGCCCAGTGCTAGATATCACTATATTACTGGCCGCCATGTATAGCCAGCCTATCGTATACTGAAAAATGGCGTTAAGAACAACAACAACAAGACATCACTATAAACTGTCACACTGCAGACATGGTAACGATATAACAGAAAAATTGTTAAAAGCTACTTTAAAAATCCAAATCTCTCACACACACACACACACACACACACACACACACACACACACACACACACACACACACACACACACACACACTTTATTTAAGTGTAAAGTACTAATTTAAAAAATGACCGGAATACAATCTGCCTCAGTTATTATGCGATAGCCTTACCTGACATCATTAAGTGATTTGTGACGTGATATATAGAAAACTTGTGAAGGCATATTAATGCCAATGATACGTTTAATCCTATGATATTTCGAGCTATAGGATATTACTAAGTATGTCTTAAAGAGTTATTTCCCCTTTGCGTCACAAAAGCTAGTAAGATTATTAATTTCTTTTGAGTTTACTATTGATTACTAAAGCATTACAGAATTTATTCAAAAGTAATTGACGATATAGTACAGTTCCAACGTCTTAATAATTGCAAAAGAACCAAATTTGTTCACATAATTTGGGTTTAGTGCCGCAAACAAAACCTAAACATCTGCAAATCCAACATGAATTTCCACCAACCTCTTTCAGATCGCAATATCACTTATTGCCAGAGGTGATTGTATTATAACTGAGAGATTAAGTCAATTGGCGTGTTTTCAATTGAATGGGAATTCAATGGAAAAGAAAGTAATCCACAATAAAGCTATCAACATCAACCTAGCGTATATTTTAATAAGGACGAGAGACCGAGTTCCCTCTGACCATTACCACCCCATGTTTGATATTTGGACATTTATGTTGAGGTGTAGGGTCAGATTCCATTCCCTATCTAAAGTTGGAATTCACCAACACTATTTGGTGTCGACATAGGGTAGCCACCTACTAACCGGCATTAACAAATTTTAACGACCTTTCATCGAGATATACCTGCATGAAATCGATAGGAATATGATTTATTTTCTCAGAAATAGCGAGTCTTGCATTCGTTATATCTGTAATCCGCTGAGGACAAAATACAACTATTGCGTTGACGAAATTTGATCTGGAACTCTTCACTTCCATTCCGAGTCACGTGACTACACAATATCTTGCAACCTACAGGTCAATGACATAAGAGGTCCAATAGTCACGTGATATCAACAATAAACCACTTTAAAAGTTGTTGTACATAGAATTCGATAATATTAAATAGAGGTCACGTAATACTTAACCATAATTATAACGCACACTTAATTCTCAACATATTTATTATGAGAATGACGACTAAAAACCCGTTAGAATAGCAGCAAGGTGGAGAAAACCAGATCCCTGGTAGTGCTCTACAGTTTCGTATTTTGCATAGAGTTAGAATTTTAAATAAAAAGAATACTCCCGGGTGTCCTCACTTGTTATGCTGGCTATTTTAAAAAAAAGACCTTGGATATATTAAGTATTGTTCAAAGAACATTTAATTCCCTTTTTTGGTGTGTGATTCATGGGTGTAATATGGGTTATAGAGTATACTGCTTGGCCTTGCTGCAGATGTGTATGTTTCAGAAACGTGCTAGCTCCACTTGCTCATTTTCACTTCCTGAAGTTCAGAGGTGAATTGTAAAAAAAAAAAAAAAAAGAGCGGATAACTTTTTTTACGTTTTATATATTTTGGTTATTCAATCATTGCACTTTCAGAAGCTGGTAATGTCTTGTTTGGCAAAGTTCATTTTCAATATTTTAATAGCTGCTGAGGATAGTATACTTTAGACAAATTCAGGATGAATTTTTAGCACAAGGGAGCAGTCATTTTAATTAGCTTCATACTGAAGATCATTTACAATTTCCAAAAGTACAATATCCTAAGAAATGTTAGCCACATTTCATCAAAGTAGCATAGAGGTATGCCAATATTCTCTCCGCTGTGGATTTTTTGAATGCAAACAACTTCACCTTACATACGTCACTCTCTCAAAAGTGCATGATAACTGGTAGGCGCCACCTAAGCACGTGTCAGTGATGTATTTTGTTGGTTTTACTTGACTAACGCATTGACCTGTGCTCTCCTGTTTAATCTGTTGTTTTTTTTTCCAAGCTGTTGCAACATTTACAGATTTCTGGTCTTTATTTCAGAATAAACATTTTAGAAGTTTATGTTCTTTTATTTCCTATAAATATTACGTTACTTTCATTTATATGTTATATTTGTTTTCTTCAGCAAGATTACAAATGGTTAATTGTTTGTATCACGTGACTGTTTGAACCATGAAGTCATTGGCATGTAGGTCGCAAGATTTGTGTAGTCATTTGGCTCAGAATGAAAATGAAGAGTTCACGGTCAAATTTTCATCAACGCTATAGTTTCGGCTTGTCTGTCAGCGGATTGAATATATAATTAATGCTGTACTCGAAAGATCTGAGAAAATAAATCATTTTCCTATCGATTTCATGCAGAAATATCTCGATGAAAGGTTGTTAAATTTGTTATTCCGGTTAGTAAGCGGCTACCTGATGCCGACACCAGATGGTGTCGGCGAATTCCAGCTTTTCGATAGGGAATGGAATCTGACCCTACACCCCAACATAAATGTCCAAATATCAAAAATGGGGTGGTATGGATCAAAGGAAACTCGGACTATGGGGACGACTGATTTACATCCTCTTAGAGAAGCGCTTGCCCTGCAACTTATTTCACCAAGGTTTTATTATCATTTAGTTCATGCAGAGGGGCTTAGAGTCCTAATAGCACTGTTTTGCTCAAGTAAAATGGAATTACTGAGGGAATATATACGTATAATTATTTTACTGGATAATGCTCATTTCGACAGCGAAAGTAATTCATAAAGAGAGAAAACGTTGTTATAGCTCATTTAAACTACTTTACCAGTGATAGGTACCATTTCAAAAAGGCGACTTTCTTATTCATGGAATAATATTTAATCAAAACATTGAAATTTGCTTTATATGAATAAATTTGTGGTGTCTAAATTTTCATTAATTAAATTGCATTCATCAAAAAGCAGCACGGTAAATTACCCTTGTTGCAAAAAAAAAAAAAAAAAAAAAGCCCCACAAAATGGTCAAAGCTAGGAAACTGTTCATGCTATAATTCTAAATCAGAACTTACTGGCAATTATACCATCCATTTGCTCGAGAGCCGCCGCCAGCATGTCGCTGACTTCCTGGCCTATCGAAGCTGACATGACGGCTGCGGGTCTCTTCAAACTGTTCTTAGAATCTGCAAATAAAAGGAAACCATAATGATAAAAGAGTGATACTCTTGTTTTCACCAGCTATCTAAATTCGAAGCTCTTCCTAGTCCTGAGATTTTAAGGAATCGGATTCCTCTCTCAATGATGACAAAGGTATAAATGAGTGGTCCGCAGACAACATTGATGAAACAAATTCACACTCTTTAGATTTAACACACACACACACACACACACACACACACACACACACACACACACACACACATACACACACACATTAGCGCATACAATACAAATAACAAAATAGCAAAGTCTTGTCGTTTCCTCGAGTGAACTTTAGCAATATTTTCAGATTCAGGGAATTATAAATTCCTTAGTCGATTATCATCAATTTCCCCATCTCCAAGTCTAAAATGTAAGTTGTTTGTGACCATATTTTTATTATTTTCACCCAATTACAAGAATGTCGAACTTACTATATAAATCAAGAAGGTAAACTAAATATATCACCAAACATTTTTTTAAAATATAAATGAAGTTGCCTAGCTTTTATCTCTTTTGAGCTCGTCTGCATTAGGTTTAGCCAACTCCCAGGCATCGTCAATCTTTTCTTTATAGCTTTACTATGAATCACTTTCTTTTACATTGTGTCTCCACAACAAATGACTTCATCACTCAGTTACAATACAGTCACTTCTATAAATAAGTACTATTTATTTTTTCATTTTGCTCTCTAAGAGATGCGTGGAAAATCGTGTAGGATTTGCAGATTT